ACCTGGTAAGATTCTCTATGCCCACTGCTTGGAGACTTTCATCTAAAACAATGGCTATCTGTCCATGCTTGATTATGACATCACAAAGGAAAATGACTTAAAGGCATTATATTGTTAATGACACAATCAGCCTGTTGGAGTGGGGCTCAGTTTCATTTAATTGAATATCTTATTTCAAGTCATAGTGAATGCATACACAGTTTTCCAGTTTGGAAGAACTTTTAAGAGGAGTCTACACTGATCTACAATATGCAAGAAGGAAGTGGAAAAGCCTGTTGATATTGGCAATAAGCACTACAAAGTGACTAGGTGCAACTTAAGACTTCCTGAGCCACCTCTCACTTAATATTGAGTAAAAGGAGGAGTAGGAAACATTCCTGATGATGCACTAAAATATAATGCTGCTTTTCCTGTTTGCATGAGAATGCCAATCAAAACACAATTCTGATTTGCCCAAGGCTTTCTGTGTTGGCTGATGAGTATGTGTGCACGTGTGTGAGTGTGTGTGTGTGATATATGTAGGTAGATATTCATATGTACATGCATGTTTATGTGCATGTATGTGGATGCCGAGGTCAGCATTGGTTGCTTTCTTCAATGGCTTTCCACCTTATTTTGTTTATTACTTTAATTTTAAATAGCTTGCTTCACATGTCAATCCCAGTTCCCTCCCCCTCCCCTTCTCCAGTACCTCCCATCCCCCTCCAGCCTTCCACCCTATCCCTATTTCCACATAGGGGATATCCAGAGTCTGTCATTTCACTCAGGGCAGGACAGACCATGTCTGTCACTGAGCTCACTGATTCAGGTAACCTGCCTCACCTGTGAGCTCAGGGGATCTACTTGCCTCATTTTCTCACGTGGCAATTACAAATGTATGCTACTGTGCCTGGCTTTTACATGGATGCTGGAGACCTGAACTCAGATACTCATGCGTGTGCAACAAGGACTTTAACAAGAGAGCCATCTCCCCAGGTGATGATTCTTTGTGCTGTTAATGAAGGCAACAGAGAAGAAAGTAAAGTTCTACTCTGTGTGAATCAAATCTATATACAGCTACATTTGTAGAAAATAAACAATAGTTGATATTAGTGTATTCTTCCTAGATGTCACATACTATGTTAAATGGAAAATGATTAAAGAGCATTTACTATCTCATCTAACTCATATAGTAATGTACCACTCTACTACTATTTCTTCTCTATACACAAAAAATTTTAGTTTTAGATTAGAAAAGGCATATTTGCTTATAGTGAATAGTGATTAAAAGATGCTAAAGTACTTGGATAATAGTTTCATTTGTGTGGTGGACAGATTTAAGTCCAACTCAAATGTTGCTGCATTTCTAAATGTGCTGCCTAATTGTCTTAAACTTTTTTCTTCCAAGTTCTTGAAGAGCAACATTCATTTAACATAAATTATCCTTACAGTCAGAGACACCAAAATTTAAAAAATCAAATAAATAGAAAAATAAAACTTGAAAGAAGTCTTGGACTAAAACTTAACGATATACGTATTTTTACTCAGACCTGGATGTGAATTCTCCAAATTTCTGTGGATTTTGGTGGCCCCACCTATAAAATTACCCTCCACATTCTAAGAAGGAACAAATCAAAAAAATCCATATTAAATTTGAAAGGTATGATGGTGTCTCATAATTAAATGGCTATTGCTGTTATCAAGAACAAGCTGGCACACAATGAAGTTAAATATGTGAGGAAATGCAGTACAGCATAAGAATTAAATCAGGCAGCTCTTTTTTGACCAGGAAATTCTCTCCTTCTGATTCTCAGTATTTATTCTCACTGGTCTGAGATGCTTTGGCAGAAAGAGAATGGTCCTCTATCTAGCACAAAGAAAAAGCATATTCATTCTAATTTCTCTCTTCCTACCTCCTTTCTTCTCTTACTTTCAACCTTCTTTCCCCCTTCTTCCCTCCCTGGTCTCTCTACAGATCCCTGCTACCTTACATTTTTAGCCAAATGAGATATTCATTTAATTCCCAGACCATGACATTCCTTTTTAAGCCTTGTTGTGCTTTCACTAACTTGCCAAAATTGGTATAATTCCCCCAGTGGAAGATATGCATGCTCCTTAACACAGCAGCAAGCTAACCCTGGCCAAATGAGCTCTTAGTCCCTTTGCCAACCAAGAACTTCCAAATAGATCAAATTCAGATATCTATATTTTATAGCAGAGAGGAAACTCCTTGGTGTGTGTGTGTGTGTGTGTGTGTGTGTGTGTGTGTGTGTGTGTGTTTGACAGAGGGGGGGTGGAACCTTGGGTCAATAAAATGCCAAGTTACAAAGCCCAGAGTGTTCCTAACAGTAAAGGCTACCAAATGAAATCCCCTACACATACCTTCCATAGGCAGTTACTACCAGTATTTTCCTCCTGCACAATCTTTGTACTGCAGATTTTTACTGGCCTTTCCCAGCCTTATGCTCCTCAATAGTGAAGCCAAGTCTAACAATGCATCATCCTTCACTGTCTGGTAATATAATATGGATTAGCACCCAGGGAAGTGATGGTTTAAGATCGTGAAAAGGTGCCCCCAACACATTTATATTTTAAAATGCATGGTAGTGAATTCTATGACAAGGGTATTTTGTTCCTTTTGGTAAAACTCATCCATGAGTAAATTAAAACTGCAAATCATGGAAACAGAAATGAAAGACCCACTAAGCCCTCTCTGAGGCATAATTATTCAACCTTACTACATCACATTCCAACACATCCTCAGGCTGTCAGATGGGAAGAGAAAAAAGTTGAAGTCCCCAAACTGGCAATTGTGAGTCATGATTATATCACTAATCATAATTTAGACATAAATGAACTTCACTGAATATGCAGTTGTGCTGATAGGAGGAAAAGCCCTTGGCTGTAGAGACAGAATGGGCTTTTGAAGTCAAATGTGTGATGTGTAAATACAAAACTCAGAATACTGCATCTTTGCCTACATATCTTCATGAAGTGCAAATCAATGCAGACCCTAACTGAGCACTTGGAGTGGTAACCTAGTTTTCTGTTTAGCTAATAGCTACAAATTTTGTTTACATTTTTATCCCCCTCATTACGTTGCAATCATCATTTTTAGTAAATACAAGTGAAAGGCCACATACTCCATAGTGCTTCTTATGGGGGTATAAATACCCTTCTCCTTGTGTTTCTATCTGAATAATTTAGCTGCTGACACACCAAATCAAATGCAATCATGACAAGTATCCCACTAGTAACTCTTTCTGAGGCTAAAAACAGACTCCTTCTCAGCTTATTTCCCCATGCCGTTGCTAGGTAAGATTAAGGGTCCAGGCTGGGAACTAACAGGATACTTAAGGAAGGCCAGTCCCTCACTGAATGTTGTATTTTATCCAGTCTCACAGGAACTTAGATGGCTCTTCTGAAAATGATCTATGATGCTAGAAAGAGGTAGTAAAAGTGTATTTTCTAGATAGTGAAATAATATGCAACAAGAGAAAGATGTATAATGTGGTTTTATGAGATGCTACCCTCTCTATCCCTGGGCATAAGACTCAAAAACCCTCATGAGTCACTTCAATATTTATACTGAAAGATACACAATAGAGTAAGAGAATTCCTGTTGTGTGTATGGGAGGAAGTGACCCCAGACTTCCCTTGTCTGGTATGTGGATATAACTCATTGAAGTATTACATTGACATGTTTTTTGGTAGGGTGGCCAAGCTCCAAATATGACTTCACATAACAGATTCCCATTGTTTCTTTAGAGAAGATTGAAATTAAACGGCAGTATTTAGAACTGGGTCCTAAGTAAAGAAAACACAGAAGGATTTTTAATAATCTGATTTAGGGGGTGGAGATGGCTGAAGGCTAAAGAAAGAGACAGGAACCCTGTCTTACTCCAATGCTGCTAAAGTGTGTCTGCTCACAGAGACAGGACTCCTGCTCATCTACCTATGGAGACTTCATGGGAAGTTGGCTCAGTCCCTAATTCTGCAGAGGGAATGCAGACAGAAGGGAGAACCGCAAATGGGCTACACCCTGAGTGCTTAAATGGCAGGTGCAAGGGAAATGGAGTGGGTGCTGGTCAATGGGAGGGGCCAAAGGGCTGGGAAAAGCTCCACAGTTCCCTCAAACCTAAGAGACACATCTTGGAAATGACAGTTCCTCCCAACACACAATACTAAGGAACAGGAAGACACAAGCCCTACCCCAGACATCTCAACACCCTGGATTCTCATTGAAACACACACACACACACACACACACACACACACACACACACACTGGCACAAGTAGCCTCTGATCAGCAATTGAGCCGGCACATCATTGCTACTGGGAATTAAGACGTTAATCTGAAGCAACATTTTAAATACTGTATTGTTTCAGGTGTGTTTGGGGTAGGAAGGCTGAGCCACTGGATTTCAAATACTGCAACACATTTTTCAACATCTGGGGAAGACATAGAGGGCTGCCACATGACTCCAGTCTCTCCTGGTATTCCCCAGTCTCCCATCTTCCTGCAGTCTCTTTAAAGTGTCTAGATACCAGAGCAAGGCTCTGCATCCATTTTGCCAGCCAGGAACCACTGAGTTTGGGAACTTTGGAAGCCCGGGGTTCGGAGTGGGGGTGGGGGTGGGGGAAATGCGGAGGCTCAGATTTCGGCGCCAGAGTTCTCAGCCAGGAAAGCAGTTGAAAATCAACACCCATCTGCCTCTTCTTTTTCAGTCTCCATCCTTCTCCCTTCCAGGACGCCACAAAGATTTTGCCCACATCGGCACACACACGCGCGTGCACACACACACACCCAGAGATTCACACACTCAGGGACACACAAACCAGTGCACACACCCTTGGGTTTAGAAGGTTTTTGATTCCAAAGGCAGCACAGCCACAGAAAGAAAAAGGGCCATGCCACCTCCTCACTTCCCGCCCTAAGTCTACACAGGATAAAACCCCATACATTTCAAATACCACCACGGAACACACCACCCGCCCATGACACCAGCAAGTCCCGTACCTGATATGCAGACGATGAAATTGGCTTGAAGAAGAAAAAGCACCTCCCAGACTATTTCCATCCTCTGATTCTCATTCCAGGTGCATCACTCGACGGGAAAACAGGGGGGGAAGGGGGGAGCCCGACACGGCACACACATACACACACGCACACACTCTCCAGAGAGCGCACACTCGCGCTCCCACCCGACAGCCGGCCAGGGGCAGCCACCCCCAAGATCAATAACGCAGTTTGAATTGTTTCAGCAAATCTCCCCTCAGGCTCTTTGGATGTGCTCCCCAGATGTGCTGACACATGTCCGATGCCTCTTTGCCTCTGAGGTCTCCCCGCTCTTGTGTCTCTGCTCCTCTCACCAACGGTGGAAACAGCACTTGCAGAGACCGCGGCGGTGGTGGCGTCAGCCACCTGAAGCCAGCAACACTGGACTCTTCCTGCAAAACCGAGACCCCGATCCGCCGGGTGCCCCAAGAAGACATAGACAGCAGCCCCCCACCGGGCCGAGCTGTTCAATTCCGGGCTCGCTGCGTCTTCCCGTATGCTAGCTGAGCCCAGGTAGTCCGCGACAAGTTGCCCTCGAAGTCCGCCCCCTTCACCAGGGCATGGTCAGAGGATGGCGGCTAGCTCCGATCCAGTCGGTTCTCCTGCTTCCGGAGGGTGTGGGGAGAGGAGCAGACAGGGCACACAGGAAAAGAAAGAGAAGCGGGGATTATTGCCGGAAAACACCGGCCACCAGCAGCCTCCGTTTACCCTCCCTGCTCCCCAAGTCCGCCAGCCGCCTGCTGCCTCCGAACCGGGTTCAGGCGTGAGACACTGAGCCCAAGGCTGGCCTCCCGGGACTGGGGCGCGTTGGGAGGCTCACTGTCTCCCCACGTTGCACGCGCGCTTTCTGCTTTTCTGCTATTTTCCGGGGCTCCCCAGACCCCGCAGTTGCCTTGCTTCCATCGCCCGCAACTAGCGCCGCCGCCGAGATTTTCCGCAATGCAACTGCAGGGGTCGTTATTTCCTCGCCTACGGATCCCGTCGCTTTCCCACTCGCAGAGGAGGAGGGCAGGTGGGGGCGGGAGCAGGAGGAGGAGGGGGAGGAGAAGGCTCGACCAGGTGAGCGTCCGCGCCTCCACCCGGAGTCCCCACGTCAGCGGGGCCACTAGGCGCCGGGGGGCGGAGGCAAAAGTCCGTCCCGGGTGGGGCGGTGAGGCCATAAGGAGCGAGAGCCGGGCGTCAGCTCTTCAGGCCACCGTGGCCGCTGCCTTGGCCTGGACCCTAGGCATCAGCCTTGGAGCTCCGCCCCTCCCGGCTGCTCCGGTTCCCTTCCAGGAGCTTGGAGTTTCTTTTCTCTTTAAAAGAACTTCGTGGCTGCTCGTTCCGCACAGAAAAGCAGTGCGGGACTCATCCTGAGAGGATTGTGCTGTGCTCTTTCCCTCTGCAGAGGAATTTGAAGGATTTTTTTTTTTTCATAATCCATTCCCTGCCCTCTCCTTTTCGTCCCGCTCCTTCCCCCTCCCCCTCTTTCCTTCTTCCTGTTCTGATGCCAGAAAAAGGCTACTCACCCCACAGTTCTCCTTGCAGGTTCCCAGACCAGGTGCAACTCTTGTCCGCAAGTCCCTCACCTCCCTCCTCTCGCAATCGTCGCTCTAAGATCAGGTTCCAGCGGCGGCCAAGCGCGTCCCTACCAGATTAGCTACTGGAGGATCCGATACCATTGGAAACCCAGGACTCTGGGGAAACGGGTTTCCTTCTTGTTTCTCATCCGCCGTTTTTCTTTAGAGAAGGACTCTAACGCTTTGGTGGCTTTTGCAGGGCGCCGGGATACTCTAGGTCAGGGACACTCCGCAGCTTCCAGGGAAGGAGATTTCCCCAGCAAGCCCGCGCTCGCGCGCGCGCACTCTTGCCCAACGCGCGGCTCTCCCGAGTCCCAAGGGAAGGAGGGGGCGGTGAGAGCACCACCCACCACCCAGGCGGAACCAGAGCCAGCCGGCCCGCAGAAGGTCTAGCCCGGGAAAGGCTGCCTGGGAATGCAGTGCGGATGCAGGGTAAATGCAAGGAAACCCTGCGCTCCGGACTGTTCTCCTAAACGGATTTGGAGCTAACAGGGGAGTAAAAACTGCAGCAGATTTGTGTGTGGCTATCACCGCAGGAGTGGTTGGCGAAAGCCCCAGACCTACCTCTTTTAGGGGTGCTGAAGAAGAGAAGGGCAGGGTAGAGGGAATCCCTGGAAAGATCTGGGATTTCTCGAGGCGCTTGTCCAGATACCGGTGTGACGTTGGGAGGTTTTGCATAAGCGCGGATGGACACACACAACAAACACGCGCACAACCCGCGGGGAATATTTTTGTAGTTTTAAATTTCTGATGCTTAGAAGCCATTTCACTGTAAGCCTCGGTCCAATAAGCATAGAAGGGTGGATAAGTGAAGCGGAAGGGAGGGGGGGACAGGACGTGTTGTTGATCTGCACAGTAGATCCTGTGAACCGTGATTGAGGCGTCCAGACTGCGTGGCATCTAAGGGTGCGGCATAAGAGCCAAAGTAGTTACACCAGAGGGCTCCCCGGGTTCTCGAACCGAGTCTAAGGAATCTAAGATTCTTATGTACTGGGAAGTGGGGCGGTGGGGTGAGGGGTGCTGAGAGAGGAAGGAAAGCTGTTGGCTGACTGCAGGAGCCAGGGTGTGCGGTTCTGCTGCCTCCGGGGATCCTAAAAAAGAACCGCTGGCAGACTTGCCTACTCTTTAAGAAGGAGGTGTGGCCGAAGGGGTTTCTTTCCTTTTTTTTTCTTTCTGAGATGACAGCCAAGGACTCCAGGTGGCCAACACATTAAAAATCGAGGCTCATATAAAATAAATCCATGTTTTTTTAGGTAAAGAACTTTGAGGCTCAGCAGGAAAGACATTGAGACTTGAGAACATTAAAAGATTCAGAGATGGTGAGAATTAGCCCATTTGGGAAACATATGGGGGAGTGTTTGTCTCCGTGCCTTGAAAGTAGACTGCGAGAAAGGGATTTGTGAGCTCAGAGAGAAGAAAGCAGTTTGCCAAACAGGAACAGATTCATCCTAGGGAGAGTTCAGCACCGCGGACAAGGACTCACCTCTGTACTTCCAAGCTGGTTTACTGCCAATAGGACGGCTGGCTCTTTGGAGTCCAAACAAGGTGACTGGGTCTTTATACCACAGTTCATTCATTTGTTAACCGATTATGAAAATATCAAGTGACTAACTTACATATATCAAGCACTGTAGTACAGTTTTGTGGTTTTTAAGAGAAAAGCATAAGGGATGTTTTTCAAAAAGCTTAAAGGCTGTGCCTCTGTCTACATTTTTGCCTTCAAACTAATGAGAGTAAACAATACTTATTCACTATTTTTCCTGCCTAAACCTGTCTTTACCACTGTAAAAGTTTGTTTATCCTTGTTTACAATGTATTTTCACAGAATAAACTCATGAATTTGTTAGTTTAAAACTATATATTGATTAATTTCTATAGACCATGCATTGAAGAATCCCTAGCATGAATTATCTCAATTAGTAACCATTAACATCCTGTCTTAGTATATTTATGCTGTTTTTTAATAAAATACAACAACCCACAAGCTTTATGAATAATTTCTTACAATCCTGGGGGCTGGGAGAAGATCAAGGTTAGGACAATCCCTATTTGGAGGGAGGCCTCTTTCTATGCCCTTATGTAACAGGAGATGGAAGGGCATAACATATTAAACTGCTTTCCCTTGATCCGTTTGTAAAGGTAAACCCCTTCATTCATGAAGGCAGAATCTTTATAACTTAATTATTCCTCTAAAGGCCTACCTTTCATATATGCACATTGATGATTAGTTTTGAAGGGCAGATCCCATATCAGATCCTTGTGAGATAAATAGCTTATGAAACAATCTCTGAGTCACTATGAATCTTTGGTCTTGCAGCTACTAAAAAGTAGTGTAGAGAATATAGCCAGGCAGCCCAAACTTTGACACATGGTTTATAAAATGAAAAGTATCACTGTGGAGAAGGTAATAAGTATGCAGGAAGAGTGTAACTGTTCACATGACACATGCAGAGTCTTATCAATCAAAGATGGGATGAAATTGTGCTGGTAGATTATGTAATTTCAAAGTTATTTACATTAAAATTGAGAGAAAGAAATGATTACTGGCAATTAGGGATGACCCAGAGCATTTCTAATAAGGAATCTAACAACCAATTCTCTTATACTTGCAATCTGGCAATAAATATAAAAGACCCCTAGTGTTTTGATTCCTTTCTAGAATTTTTTGAAAGGAATAACAATAATTTCTTAAGTAGTTTCTAATATTGATATATATGTTTTTAACTGTGAAATTATCTCATTAAATCCAAGTAAAAACTGAGTGAGAAAATATTAAGATCTGTAAATCAGTATACAGTACTCATTATTACCTCTTATTCATAAGTCAATGAAATATAGGATGGGGCTAAAGCTATTTATCTTTAGTACTTTAGAGAATATATTCTCTTATATTTGTAAATTATTAATTGTATATGTGGGTGTGTGTGCAAGCTGGTACCTGAGTGCCCATAGCCCAAAGCATGCATATTTGTTCATGTGAGTGCAGTGCTCTTGAGGGCCAGAAGAGGGCATCAGGTTCCCTTGAGGTGAAGTTATAGGTGCTTGTGAGTCTTTGGATGTGGGTGCTGGAGGCTGAATTTAGGTCTCCTGCAACAGCAGTACTGGGCTTGTAACTACAGAATCATCTTTCCATCTCCTTATATTTACATGTTGATGTCTTTTAAAAAATCTCCCTTTAATACTAGTTTCATATTATCTCATTACTATTTCTTTACATTTCTCCGTTATAAATTCAGCGCAAGTGTTTTTACAAATTGGGAAGGTTCTGAGGAAGCCCAAGCATGAGAAACAACATTAGTTGCCTTGTAGACATTAGAGCTAATACAGTTCCTCTTCCTAGGAGGGGATAATGCTGAATTTCTTTATCTTCTATTTTATTGAACCCAACTAAAACGATGATTCATCTGATTGTTTAAGCTTGTAAGGACTTAACAGGTATTAGGGCACGCTTATTAAAGGCACATGGGATAAGAAAGTGAAGGCAATTTAGCTTCTTTCCTTACTTCTTGCTTTCTTGACTGGCATGCATTTATGAACAAAGAGTTAACCATGTATTTTAGTCTCTACCCCTCCTTCTCCTTGAGACAATGTCATCTATTTTAAACAAACTGGTCTGAAACTCACTCTGTATGTCCTTTTCATTCTTCACGTCATATCTACTACCTTGAGAAAAATAGTGTCAGTGGGCCGAGCTCTGGGAGTCTTCCTAAGAAAGAAAGGAGATATTGTATGGTGTGGGGAGAGTAGTCAATGTCATGACAGAGGAACCTACGGAGACAGTAACTTAAGCTTGTGGGGGCACATTGACTCTGAACCAACAGTTAATGAGCCTGTGTGGGACCGACCTAGGCCCTCTGCATGTGTGTGACAATCGTGTAGCTTGCCCTGTTTGTAAGGGTCCTATCAGTGAGATCAGGACTGGTGCCTGGTGCTTAGCTGGCTTTAGGGAACCTGTCCCCATGCTGGATTTCCTCACCCAACCTTTTTGCAGGGGGATGAGCTCACTCCTACCACAACTTAATATGCCAGACTATTTTCTAGCCCATGGAAGGCCTGCCTCTTTCTATATGGAGACAGAGGAGGAGTAGGTAGATGAAGAAAGGAGTAGATGGGAGTCAGGACTGGGGGAGGGAAGTGGAGAAGAGGAGGGAGGGGAAAATGTGGTTGGTATATAAAATAAAGGAAAATTTTAGTTGAAAAAAAGATTTCGTTCTCTTGCATTTCTGAGGTCAGTCATGATAATCCATGTATGTGGAAAAGAATATTTAGAGCCTACTTTATATACTAACCATCTATACAGCTGATTTTCTAGCTCAGGATTTGGGGGAAACAGCTGGAAAAATATCATTTTAATTTCTCATTCAAATCTTTTTATATAAATTTTTATTTAAATTAGAAGCAATCTTGCTTTACATATCAATCCCAGTTCCCTCTCCCTTCCATCCTTCCATGTCCCACAACCCCCCCCAACCCACCTCCCATCCACTTCCAAGGGAGAGTGAGACCTTCTAGGGGGCATCATCAAAGTCTGTCACATCATTTGGTGTAGGGCCTAGGCCCTCCCCCATATATGTAGGCTGAGAGAGTATTCCTCCACGGAGAATGGACTCCCAAGGTCCATTCGTGCACTAGCAATAAATACTGGTTCCACTTCCAGAGGCCCCATAGACTGCCCAGGCCTCCTAACTGACATCCATGTTCAGGGGGCCTGGTTCCGTCCTATGCTCATCCCCTAGCTATCAAACTGGGGTCCATGAGTTCCCACTTGCTTAAGTCAGCTGTTTGTGAGGGTTCCCTAGCATGGTCTTGACCCTTTTGCTCATCATGCCTCCCTCTCTCCCTCTCTCCAACTGGATTAGTAGGTTCTACTAATCCAGTTGGAGAGATCCTCAGTGCTTAGCTGTGGATCTCTGCTTCAGCTTCCATAAGCTACTGGATGAAGGCACTAGGATGACATTTAAGGTAGTCATCAATCTCATTGTAGGAGAAGGGCATTTAACAGTGTGTGTAAGTATGTGTGTTCACAAATGATTGACCACTTTGTGCAAAATCTAGCAATTGCAGCTTCCTTCTCCTAGATGTCTACACCCTGAGACTGCGCCTACAGAGACCTAAACAAACTAGCCAACACCCTGCTCTCTGTGCTATACATAATGAATGCTCTGAGGCTCCAGGTTGCTATGCAGTCTGGTACATACTCCCCCTTACTCAATATTTTCTATAAATATGTCTGCATGTCTGTCCTTTTTTCATTCTGTCACTGCCTCTGTTAGACCAAGTCTTTGCTATGAGGCTGGGGCATTTAGGGATGGTGTCTTTTTTACATCTGTATGC